ACGTTTGGAAAAAAGTCTAATGTTAGAATGCCTCTCGATTGTTGTCTCAAATGAAAAGTACAGATTCTTATGAAACATACATTTAATGTAATCATTGTTTGTTGCACAATTAATACCGGATTCACGTGATATATTACCTATTGAGTCAAGTATTAAAGAAGAAAATCTGACAAAACTTTACTTTTAAATGATACTTCTTTTCATGATGTTCATTTGGTCTTAATGTGCTTATATAGAAAAACACGAAACTAAACGAAGAGGTATATGGAGAAATTATTGAAATTCCATTAAAGGCATTGGGACACTTTCAAATCATTCGGTATTCAGAGCGTGCAGCTGCTACTCAGACTTTGTAAAAGGTCACCAGTGTCTGAGCAAAAAGTTGATGAACCAGGGTTATGCCAAAGAACGTCTCATCCTTTTTTCTAAAAACGTCCATAGAAAAAAAGATATCAAGACCTTGTTGATAAATATTCTGTATCAACTTCACAAATTATACATGATAGTCTTGATGTATAGATTCTAGGTATCATCTTAATTACGTGTTATAGTGTTCTTTTAGTTGTCTATGTAAATTATGAACGTTTACTGTTTGGTTCATTTGTGGAAATATCCTTTAGACGTGGCTCGGTACTTGTTAACCCATTGTGTTGTTGTGCTGTTGTAATTTTTTGTATTCTTGTGATTCAATGTTGCGTATGTGCTTTGTATAAATGCCATTTTGTTTTTCTTTGTTGACATATTTGTTTGTTTTTATAGTGATTGAGATTATGACACACTGTTGACCACTGTACCCCTATTTTTGACATTTTTACCTATTATGTCTTTGTTTTGTTCTCGCATCGTTGTCAATATAATGGAATTTTATGCGACTGTCATACATGTGAGAAGTTTAGCTAGCTTTAAAATCCACCATATAAAATATAAAATATTTTATCAAAAAGGAGCTAAACAGAGGTAAGTTGCCAAAATATTTTGTAAGAACCCAAATAGGCCTAAATATGTGTATGTGAATTTAAGAAAAATAATTATTGTGCTCTTCGTACTTTTCCTGTTATTGTAAGATCGTATAAGTAGGAGCAAGAACACATTAAATAACTAAACAATATTTGAACTATTTAAGAATTTTTATTTAATAAAAACACAAAATCAAATTCTAAAAAAGAAAAGAAAGAAGTTTCAATGACCAAAGTTCATGTGAGTTAAGCAGTTGACTTCTTCTTTAACAGTTCATTTAGATATTTCTTGATGTTGTTTTTATAAGTCGACATATTGCATCTCGTATAAATGTAAAGGCAAACCAATAATGACCATGTAAAATGATTTAACTATATTTCTTACAATAATTAACAATATGATTGAATAAGTATAAATTTCATGTTTAGAAGCTCTTAATCTATGGGACACCTTTCCAACGTTCATCGTTTACTTATTCATTTTTTTGTGTGTACATACAAAACCTTATGCTAATTATTTTTCTTAAATTCACATACACATATTTAGGCCTATTTGGGTTCTTACAAAATATTTTGGCAACTTAATTCACCTACACAAATTGGCATATCAAATTTCTCTGCTCTTTACTTGCCTGCTGGTGTACCATGACAACGTTGCTGCCGCTCACTGTCGTTTGCTTGGCCTTTTCACCTGTTCCGGCTTTTAGTGGCTCCTATTTTTTATATTTTTTTTATATTATATTCTTTTTTTTTGTTCTTTATTAAAACTTTTCATTTTTTATTTCCTTTTATCCATTTAAGATATATTTATTTTTATCTTTTATTTCTATTCATCAATTTATTTATGTAGTTAAAGGCGCAAGCCAGGGCCGACCGTGCACGACCCTCATGAGTAGTAAAGGTCGTTAACCCCTCCCCCCCCCCCCCCTTTCGTCGTCGTCAACGTTCATCGTGAGTATATACGCATATGGTTCGAATATTCATATGGTCCGGAACAGATACTTTAGTCTTAAATACATGATTTTTTTATTAGTTGTTGTTGGCTTTGAACAAGCTGTCAAAAGTTGCGAGTACTCTAAGATCTTTTTTGTTGTTGTTGTAGGGGTGTATAAAATACCCTGCCACGTCCGGTCTGTTTTTGTTACTTATTTTTCTACTTTGTATCGATCTGATGAGTTTAGCCCTTTTCAAATGATTTTTATAGTTTATTCATATTAACTGTTACACCACTGTTCCAGGTTAGGGGAGGCTTGGACGCCCGCTAACATGTTTAACGCCTCCACTTTCTGTATGTGCCTGTCCCAAGTCAGGAGCCTGTTATTCAGTGGTTGTCGTTTTGTTACTGTATATCATATTTGTATTTCGTTCATTGTTTTTACATAAATCAGGCCATTAGTTTTTTGTTTGAATTGTTTTACATTTGTCATTTCGAAGCCTTTTATAGCTGACTATGCGGTATGGGTTTTGCTCATTGTTGAATGCCGTACAGTGACCTATAGATTTAACTTCCATTTTTTACATTGAATTTCTTTAAAAAGTATTTTTTTCTATATGTGATGCCAATCTTTTTTTTCAATGCTTCAAAACATATTGACATTTTTATATGTTTCAATATAGATCTATCATATATTGATACTTCTAATTGATTTTCAAAGTTATATCATGGATAAAGAAGCTATATAAAAATAAGAAGATGTGGTATGATTTCCAATGAGACAACTCTCCATCTCCACAAGAGAACAAATGACACAGAAATTAACAATTTATTGTGCTGAATGTTCTGTTATTACTGTCTATTAAATTTCAAATTCAAAGTAATAAACTATGTCGTCTTGCACATAACAATCATCCGTATTTATCAAGCGTCTCCGTGAAGGGTAATAGAGTATTTGCCATGGGATAGAGTAAATTGTCTTCCTCGAATTAACCAATCAAAATCTGGCATTTTGACATGAAGTATAATAAATACAAATGAGCAATGTTATATGTGAAATTTGCGTGTTCTTTATTTGAACCTTTTCCTTGTTTTTTAGCGTAAATACACTGACATATGGCATTTAAACCCATAGGAAATTTGTGTATTCTCTCGATAAAACCTGGACCGCACTCGAAAAAACCAGGACTGCTCTTAAAAAGGTCCTTCTCACTGCAAAAAGAAGAATTTTTGTGAAGTGTCTGTATATCTACAGATATATAGATTTCATGTATGCATTGCCTTTGACGTTTGCATTGGTATTTGTATGAAAATAGCTTTATTCTATGTTTTGGAATAAAAGCATTGTAAGGCTAAAATAAACTTCTACAACACAAAATAATGTAAGGTTGGTAATATCTTTTTGTCACAAATACTAAATTACAATTTATGATCTTGTGTATTAAGTTCAAGCATCTATTTTCGGTCTAACCAGAAAGGAAGCCAGTTTGTTTACATTTTTGATCACATTAACTCGAAAAAAAAAAACGTGTTCGCCCTCGAAAAACCTGAACAAATCACTCGAAAAAACACGATCCGAGCCGAACACTTTACCATTAACCAGAACATTGCAGACGAAATATATAATTTAGATGCTGTCTGTAAAGTACTTACAAAACCCAGACGACAGCTACTGTTTTAGATGCTATGGAATTCGATGCCGTCTATTTCAAAGGGTTAAACATTTGTTCAATTGAATTGATTTTTTTCCGAACAAGAAAATTAAAAAACTGGAATCCACTTAACATTTTTTAATGCAGTTTTAGTCAATATTTGGTTGATCATTCAAATAACAGCATACATTTTGTAATAATGTGTTGTAGCTAACATAATAAATTTTGTACAGATACATGTAATTGTTAGGTTTGTATCAAAAACACAAAATAATTAAATAAAAACTTTTTTTGCAAAAACTCATTTTGATAATGATTCATTGTCGATAAGACGGTGTAGATAATTGTGTTGTTGCATGTTTCAGGAAAGACAAATGTCGTTTGGCGGATAAGATAAGTACGATAACATTTTATCTACGCACTGTGTTATGATGATGTTATGTTAAAATGTGTTAAAAATAATATGTTAAAAAGTGTCGTAAATATGTTTTGCTTTCGAGAACATATGTAACCATTTTATTCGTTTCCTTTCTTAGCAGTTGGTATACGCGATAATTTTTAGCCTTATCACTCTTTTTTTAAATTCTGTCAATGTTTAGGCATAAACAGTTTTTTAATTTCGTAAATTGGGTGGAATTCACTTGATTTTCTATTGTTTTACTGTTATTTGATGAAAATATAGTATAGCAAAATTTTGACCACCGCACAATCTGGTGTACGGGAGCCAACTCTTGATATTCGTCTCAATATAGACATAGGAAAAACATCGATTTTAAAGAATAAAACGGTCGCACGGGAACGCAAAAAAGGAAATATTAAAGAAAATTCGCACGTTTTTACAACATTTTCACTACACGTTTTAACTATGCTTGAGCAAGTTACCGTGTGTGATAACATTCAAGAATTTATTTTAATGGATTTTGTTTTACAAGAGAAAAATTAACATGATGATATGTATTAATACATGTTCATTGACTGTAAACATTATTTTTTCCATTTCATAAATAGTCCTTGTCACAACTGTACATGTATGTCCGTACTCAAAGACATTGATCAACCAACTAGTGCCGGTAAGCATGACAATCCGGAATTTGTCTGTCACTGGTAACTAACAATTCTAAAATGCATGTATATACGATTTGTTTTTGATACATCTTACAAAGTCTATCCGAATCATTTGGCACAAAATTCCGCTCAAACCGTTACTAGGGGCCGTCTTAGTTTAAACAATATTTTATTTTTCAAAAGTGCACAAATTACAATTATACAATAGAAATACAGGGATTCGGAATCAAGAAGAACTTATATAAATCCGTCTCCCTTAACAAAATGACAACATTGGGAACAAAGTGTAAAGAAATCCGCTATAATATAATTTTCAATTACCCCAGTTAATAGAGATTATAAGACACGCTGTTTTCAGATCTTTTCTGAATTGATTCTATTAATACTTTGAGTATGAATGAACCGTTAGAGGAATTGGGTATGGAATGTAAGATATAATTCCTTTCCAAACAAAACCACATAATAAAGGCATTCATATGGAATTTTACTTTAAAAATTTACAAACACTTCTGATTAATTGATAGAGCACATCGACCAATATAACCCGCTGTCTCTTCATTTCAAATTACTAAAAACTCAAAGGACCAGTTCTATAACTTATGTAAACACAACAGTATCAATAAAGGCAGCTAGGACTATGGAAAAATGCTAGCTCTGTTACCTCAACAAAATTCAAAGCTGCTTGTGAGTTTGAATTCGGAAGTAGAGAACATGTCTAAAAGAACTCGATTTATCGAATATTGTAATTGCATAGTACCTTGTTACGACATTGTTAGATCTGGTTTTCTAAACCTTAAATCTCAAATTGTTGGTTTGGGAAACGAAATTCGCATTATTAGATGAATGATCGTTTGACCAATAGCGATATGAGTAAATATTTCATTTTTTCTTATTTTGTTTTTCACTATAGGTTTTATTTCGAATTTCCTTCCCAGATGGTTAACAAGCAAAGGACTGAAATAAATCACGAAGAAAACAACATAGAAACCGTGACAGAGAACAGGATATTATCCGCGACAAAAGTTTCTAAATGAAGAAAAATTCTTTCAGTTACCCAATCGACCTCTTTATCATACAACAAAGGCATACAGGAAGTATATGCATCCAGTCCTTTTGTATCTTGCTTCTTTTGCGAGCGAACGCTTTCATCAAATTATTGTTAACGTCACTTTGTCAGTTCAAATCGGTGTCCTTTTCGCGGTCCCCGTTTTAATCATGCCAGTTTCATTCAAAAACAAATACAATGGTTAAGAAGTAGAACAATACACTTTAGCGTTGGTGTTAAGTTTCAGGACAAAACAACGTTATAGTACATTTTAAGAAAAGATAAAACGTATCTACACATACTACAAAACAGAAAAAAAGTCGGCCAGTCATACTTTTTTTCTTGTTTCTAAAGCTCGTTCAAATAAAATTTATATTTTCCTTCAGTGTACGAATACTGTATATTAAAGTTGACCGTACGAACCTGAAAAACCTTTTTTTGATTACATCCGTAACATATGTTTCAAACTTGTGACCCAAGAATTTATTTTTTACAAAGTTTATGATGTGTTCAGCTTTCATAAGTAAACCGCGTTTATAAATACCACTGAGATTTTATCATTGAAATCCAGATCAGCAAGTGTGACTATACATTTTTCCATCAATTTTATGATGATCATGATGATAAAGCATTAGTGCTTAACATTAGATGACTGTTTTCCGTGCATATAAGGACGAGAACATGCTAATGTGTTATGGATAATATAAGGCATGTGGTACCTGTGAAATAGGCTGAAATCCGTACATTATTTGCGTGATATGATACCATTTGGTGCTCAGATGTTATACAAATTTGCAGGAAATCGTATGATTTACAATATGACACTCGATGTCAACAGCATGAATGCACAAGTGCAAAGTTTTGAACAAAAGAAAATGATTTGATTCGCCAGTTAATTGTTTTTTATACTGAGTTTTATTTTTATTGCTCTTATTGCTATTATGAGGACTTCGTCCTCTATGAACCATGCTTGCTCATTGCTGAAGGCTATAAGGCGACCTATATTTGCTCACATATAACATCTACGTCATTTTGTCTCTGTCGGATAGTTTTCTCATAGGCAATCATACCACATCTCCTTATTTTATATTGTACTAGACGTACACACTGAGTCGCAGTTCAAACATGTTCGATGTGTACTGATTGATATTTTAGTCTTCTGACTTGGATGGAGGGTTGTCTCATTGGCACTCATACCACATCTTCTTATATCTATTAGATGCATGATTTTTTTATTAGTTGTTATTGGCTTTGAACTAGCTGTCAGTAACAGCGAGTACTCGCTAATCTGTACTTAAGTGTATTTTTTTGTGGGGATGATAAGTACCCTGTCACGTCCACTCTGTGTTTTTGTTACTTGTTTTTGCTTTGTATTTATCTGATGAGTTATTCCCTTTTCAACTGATTTTTATAGTTTGTTCATATGTTGTACTGTAACACCACTGTCCCAGATTAGGGGGAGAGTTGGGCGCCCGCAAACATTTTTAACCCCCGCCACATTCTGCATGTGCCTGTCCCAAGCCAGGAACTTTTTGTTTCTGTATAGCATATTTGTTGTACGTTTAATGTTTTTTATAGTTTGTTCTTGTGCTGTTTCATCACTGTCCCAGGTTAGAGGAGGGTTGGGCGCCTGCCAAACATGTTTAACCCCGCCACATTATGTATGTGCCTGTCTCAAGTCAGGAGCCTGTAATTCAGTGGTTGTCGTTTATTGCTGTATATCATATTTGTTTTTTCGTTCATTATTTTGTACATAAATCAGGCCGTTAGTTTTCTCGTTTGAATAGTTTTACATTTGACAATTCGGGGACTTTTATAGCTGACTATGCGATATGGGCTTTGGTCATTGTTGAAGGCCGTACGGTGACCTATAGTTGCTAATTTCTGTGTCATTTGGTCCCTTGTGGAGAGTTGTCTCATTGGCAAGCATACCAAATCTTCTTATTTATATATTCACATGGTACATATACCAGTTGGCAGAAAGACAGTGCCTGAAAGCCAGAAAGAACAGCCCGTCTATGCTCTTACACATTTACACCGCGTGATATGCGTTAACCATTTTTGAAGTCTCTGTTTTGACCATGCTGGTAACGACCACTTGAGGCTAGCACGCTACAACAAGACCACAAAGGCAGACATTCAAACTTACTGAATTTGAATGGCTACGGATGAAATGTATCTTGACGAGTCTTCATTTATATATTTTTACTGTTACTGTTCCTCTTTTAAAAGTACAACTGAAAGCCTAAATTATTACTTTAGATCATATCAAATAAATTGTTTTATTGTCCATACTTTCTACGAACAATAATTTTGATTTGTTTACTGATAATCGGGACAAAATTGAGGTCGGCCGGGTTAAAATCAAGGAACTCAAAAGTGTTGTAATGCTTCTTATTCAATTTTCGCGACACAAAGACCTAAGAAATATACAACCTGATTTGAAATTAAGAATATGGTCTTCAATTATATTTTCACACTCGGTATAATAAATGTGACATGTCGGTTAAATAAGATTGATATAACACGATGTCTTAGCTTCTATATATTACCAAGCAATCATTTAATGCCCCTCAAACGAACAGTAAAATATATGATGATGCTCATATAATATGCAAAGATAATGTAAATAGAAAAAAGATATCAATGTTAGTGAAACTCTGGTTATAACAATACTACATGTAAGAAATTAGCAAAAGCGTACAACGTAAGAACTTTGGACGTGACATGTACAAAACTGTAACGCGTAAACAGTATACATTATGACCAATTTGACTAGGAAAAATGTTGATGGTCAGCTGATCTGACCAAAAGCGCACATGACCTTGAACGTCTGTTTTGCTGACATTGCTTTGCATCGGTTAAAAGAAACCTGTTACCTTAAACGACCCAATTTCTTTTTATCAGAAATTGTAATTAAGATGAGTGTTATTTTTTTATAAATATTTTGTATCATATATTATCTCATTTTCATATTCTGTAGTAAGAGATTTTATTTACTGATGACCTTGTAGGTACCTTGAAATCTTGAAACATCAGTCGTCTGGAAATTCAGTATCTTGTATAAATTATGAAAAATAGAAAAAAACTTGTTAAAAAAACATGTTTTTAACAAATGTTACAGGAGTTATTAAGTAAATGTTTTCACTTTCCAGACTAGTTGTCCATATTATTCAGTTTCAACCTTGGACTCGGCTCGACAACATCAATCCTCATTTAGTTTTTGAGAATGTTTCTAACATGCTTTCTTTTAATCGTTTTTTTAGTAACCAATTGCACATCAGTAAATACAAAAATAATAACGAAAACAGGAAAAATTGAAGGGTTTACTCAGATTGTACTTGGTAACAAGATAGATACATTCTTAGGAATTCCATTTGCCGAACCTCCAGTCGGAAACTTAAGATTTAGGGAACCTGTTCCAAAACGGCCATGGAGAGGAACAAGAAAAACTCAGAAGTTCGCCAAATCGTGTTCTCAGCCTGCTTTCTTTGCCTCTGATATTCCAGCAACCACCCAAGGTGAAGACTGTTTATACCTAAATGCATGGATCCCTCAAGGAGGATGTAAACACAAACATACAATGGTATGGATTGTAGGAGGGGGGTTCATTACTGAGAATTTCGTTGGCAGTAATCCGAAAGTGATTGCTGCATATACAGATACTATTGTTTTCACAATAAGTTATAGAGTTGGACCATTAGGTTTTCTATATTTTGACCACAATGATGCACCTGGTAATATGGGACTGCTTGATCAATCAATAGCAATTAAATGGATACATGACAACGTGAAAAGATTTGGAGGAAGCAAGCATAAAATTACTTTATTTGGACAAAGTGCTGGAGGTGCCAGTGTGAATTATCACATTTTATCCGAGTTTTCGCGCCCGTATTTTCAAAAAGCAATCATACAAAGTGGAGCAGCTGACTCGAGATTTGGCTATCATTCCCCTTCTGTAGCACTTAATAATGCTAATGCATTTGCTGCGCAGCTTGGTTGTAACAAGGCCTCAGTAGAGGAAACGATTCAATGTCTAAGATCATTACCAGCATCAGTAGTGTCGGCAATACAATTTTCTCCTTTTCCGATCCCTCCGTTGTTTATCAGGGCTCATTTACCTACAATTGACAAAATTGGATTCATTTCCAAATCACCAAGAGAGCTCATGAAACAGCCTCTTCCCAAGCATATTTCCGTTTTGTTAGGCGTTGTAAAAGATGAGGTATCGTTCTTCTTGGCTTTTTACGTTAATTTGCTGAAGATACCTATAGACATCAATGATGGAGTTATTACAAGGGAAGAGTACTTCAGAATTCTCCCACTGCTCGTCGCTGCGAATAATGCAACTTTAGCTAGCATCGCTGGATATTACCTTCGTCCATTCCTACCAGAAGAACCGCAGTCATACCTAGATGTCGCCATAGACATAGGTTAGTTGTTTATAAAATAATGTTCAGTTTTGTAAAACTTTTTATATCTGTTATTTATTAACTTTTGTGATACATTGAATAGATATACGTCTAGTAATTATTAAAAATTAACTAAGTCACCTTTTTTTTAATACTGAATTCCATTTTAATTGTCAATTTACAATAAACTCATCATAGATACTAGGATTGAAATGTGAACGCCAGACGCGCGTTTCGTCTACAAACTTCTCATCAGTGACGTTCACATCAAAAAAGTTAAAAAGGACAAAGCAAGTACGAAGTTGAAGATCATCGGACCCAAAATTCCTAAAAGTTATAAGAAGCCAACAAATTGCTACGATTCAATTGATAATGCCAAATGATTTATTTTTTACAAATTTACGAAAAATATTTACAATATATATATATGTATAATCCTTACTGTAATAAAATAGATTTTTATTTAAAACTGGAATGAATCTATTCTTTCTGTATATATGTTTCAGGCATTTTCGTGATTTAGGCATTTTGTGAAATGATAGAGATTTTAGAGAATATACTAAATATCAAACCTATACAGTTATTACATAAAATGACTAAGAATATCTATATTTTTGAAACAAAATTCAACACATTGTTTGTTTAGTTTCAAGTATTTTTTTTAGAAAAAAAAATTATCAATGAGATACATATAACCAAAAGCACAATAATTTTTAAAGAAAAAACTAATGTTCGGTAAAATTAAGTTTATTTTCAAATACCATCTGTAAAAGTAGGTGAATATATAATAAGTTCTCTTTTTTTTTGTGAAAACAAGTGTTACATAATTTATGTACGTTAAGTATGTACTCGCTCCGTATTTCAGTTAGTTTTTTTATATAATTTTCTTGTCTTGAAGGACATTTTTTTTAACAGTAGAACAAAAAAAGAAGGACAAACTTTTATAGCAATAGAAAAAATGGATAAACATTTTTTTTGAAAATCTACATTAAAAAAACAAGTGTTTATACGAAGCAGAGGAAACGAATCAAATATTTTTGATTGACTGATTGTTTTTGTTTGCATTCAGTAGCAAATATTTTATGAATATATAGTAAGAGAACAAATTGATAATAAAATAAATAGGTAAGTTCTGCAGTGGATTGATTATGATAAAGGGTCAACAGGTCAACTACGAAACAGTCAAAGAGGTCTCAACGTGCAGAGAGCGTGGCAATCTCCTTATACGAGACATCCGATTTATTGTCTTCATTCAGAAAGGATGCAAAATTAAACATCCCGCACTTCCAAACGGATTCCCCTTTATAGAATGGGTTCACCAAACAATGCTGTATGTGGTTGTAATGTTACTGTCTCAATGTAATTCTTGATTCTTTACAGTATAATGAATTAAGGCGATAAAGGGTTACGGATATTAAAATCTCGAACATCGACCAAGAAGAGACAAACCAAGGTTACCAAAACAAACCCCGAGGGAATCGCATAAATTCCTTGATAAGCGAGAACATGTGCGTCACCTGATATGTCTGCATCACCCGCTAAGCAAAGATCTACTTTTTTAAATGTTTTGATAAGCCATATAAATACGTTACTCTAATCATGCTAATTTTTCTTTAAAACTTTTGGGAACACATGCAAAAGAAGATATTTATGTGTGTACTGTTTGCAACCCCCCATGGTTTTTTTAACGTTTAGTGTTTCATCAAAAAACGTATTGACAGAGCTGAATCCGACATGGTCAGGGTTTCGTGTTAATTCCAGATTTAACGCTAAACGATGTATTTGGATATAAAATCAGGACAAATTTGGAACATAACCTGCCATCCAAACAGTTTATGAAATAATAAATAATTGTCGATTCCAGTGGGAAATTTAATCAAATTCAGTAATATTTATTTATAGTCATCAAAATACTTAAAATACAAGCTTTAAAATTCAGTAATTATCATAGATAAAACTGCTCTGTTCTTATATACAATCTGTAGCTCATTTTTGTGAACATTTAATTACATAAAATAGTTTCAGGCATATACAAAAAAGTCAATATATAAATTGCCTGAGTCTTACAAAGTTTATGTCATTTTACAAATGCTTCTAACAAATATATATATATATATATATATATATATATATATATAGAGTGGTCTAGCGCGTCGGGCATAGTGCAAGGCGATTTGGTGCCACGATATCTCAGAAGCATGAGTTCGAATCCCGGCCAGGGAAGAACAAAAAAATTTGCTTCCGCATTGAATCGCATAAATTCCTTGATAAGCGAGAACATGTGCGTCACCTGATATGTCTGCATCACCCGCTAAGCAAAGATCTACTTTTTTAAATGTTTTGATAAGCCATATAAATACGTTACTCTAATCATGCTAATTTTTCTTTAAAACTTTTGGGAACACATGCAAAAGAAGATATTTATGTGTGTACTGTTTGCAACCCCCCATGGTTTTTTTAACGTTTAGTGTTTCATCAAAAAACGTATTGACAGAGCTGAATCCGACATGGTCAGGGTTTCGTGTTAATTCCAGATTTAACGCTAAACGATGTATTTGGATATAAAATCAGGACAAATTTGGAACATAACCTGCCATCCAAACAGTTTATGAAATAATAAATAATTGTCGATTCCAGTGGGAAATTTAATCAAATTCAGTAATATTTATTTATAGTCATCAAAATACTTAAAATACAAGCTTTAAAATTCAGTAATTATCATAGATAAAACTGCTCTGTTCTTATATACAATCTGTAGCTCATTTTTGTGAACATTTAATTACATAAAATAGTTTCAGGCATATACAAAAAAGTCAATATATAAATTGCCTGAGTCTTACAAAGTTTATGTCATTTTACAAATGCTTCTAACAAATATATATATATATATATATATATATATATATATATAGAGTGGTCTAGCGCGTCGGGCATAGTGCAAGGCGATTTGGTGCCACGATATCTCAGAAGCATGAGTTCGAATCCCGGCCAGGGAAGAACAAAAAAATTTGCTTCCGCAAATCTACAGATCTAACATTGTTGGGCTGTTGTTTAGACGAATTATATATACAGAATGTATTTTCAGCCTTGTATCACCATCACTGCTGGTGATCCGACGGATAAAATCTGTTGTAGAGTCGTCACTGGTTCAGACGTACTTATAATATGATTATTTCTGTGACTGCATCTTATATTTATTTGTAGGATCATTTACAATAGATAATTCAGCTGATCTGTAACAATTCCATCTTCATGCCTTATATATCATGTACTGTGTTACGACGCTAGATAAAAACTGACGAGGAAAGGTAACACCCGGCCAACGAAAGCTTTACTATTTAGAGCCTATGTGGTCCAGTGGTCTAGCGCGTCGGGCATAGTGCAAGGCGATTTGGTGCCACGATATCTCAGTAGCATGAGTTCGAATACAGGGCAGTGAAAAACAAAAAATGTTTAGACGCATTATATATATATATATATTTGCAAAATCAGACTGATGTCTAAGAGTTTTAATTTAAAAAAAATCTTAAAAAGTTCAATATGATATATAATAATGATACTTTAAAACGTTTTACAGCTGCTTTCGTTGTTCGACATAAAACATTGAAAACAAATTCAATCAAGGGTGAAATGATGTGACTTTGTGCATGTACGAAACTAAATACAAGTTGAGCGTGATAATTTATTGTTTATCAATATCAAGGCAACACTCAATAAATCAAAATATTCCACTGTATGCAAATAATGTGGCTGAAACAAATATTTGATAGATTAAGGTATCCAACGTGACATCGAAGAAAACATCATAGTCCCCTCTGAACACTATATTTCCTCTGAACATCGTGTTTACTTCGCGCGACGAATCCCGTTGTTTACATATCGTTTTAACTCTTTAAACTGCGAAATCGTTATCAACGTCATGTTTAATGAAGGTGTAAATAAAAAAGGATGCTATCAATAGTAGATGATTGCTATACTAGTCATATGAAAATAATAAGATGTGGTATGCTTGCATATGAAACAACTATTCACAAGACACCAAAAGATGTAGATTTAAGCAACTGTTTATCACCGTCCGACCTTCAACAATTAGCATAACTCACATAGTCAGCGTTAAATGTTTCCAACATGACATGCTGATTATAAAATCAAGCTTATAGAGGAAACTGCATGTACATTTATGTCCCTCTTTTCTTGAAGCCAAAGAAAGATCTGGAATAAAACATTCAATTTCTAGGTAGATTTGAGGATTTAAAATCTCTCTTTTTTATTTTTTGAAAAGCACCAACAATCATCTCTGCACTTTCAGTAATCAGTGGCATAAGCCATTATAGTTAACAAATTGCAAATGTCTCGTTTGACTTAAATTTTGCTGTAATTGTATACCATAGTTTAATTGTTTTCTATAGAGTTAACTGAATGTTCCTGATCTGACATGAATATTCGCCACGAGTTTCGATTATCCACAATTGTTCTCATACACTCTGGTAACCAATGTAAATCGTTGTTTATCAGCCAGAAAAAGACCAGAATAGACCCTTTGACATAATGAGAACAACCGCGAGGTATCGAGAAAATTTTCCACTGGCGTTCATTACAATCTTTACTGGAAAACATTGAATTCTCCCCTGCGGAGGTATTGGATCGGCGTTTTTTGAAATTTATGACAAAAAAAAAACCAAACTATAAATATGGAAAATTATATTTCTATCTATTATTTTAGGCTAGTTGAGAGACTTGTGAAAACAAAACTACCGACTGTTTTGATTGGGTTTGTGTTGGTCTGTATCTAACTTTTCATATTGTTTATTCCCTGGACTTTCGTCTATTTTCATTGGTCATTCTACGATATTTCCTCTCACCGTTACCATACTCTATAATTGTTCTATGTTACTAAACAATTATGCTTAATGTATTGAAGACTGTGTGTACAAAATATTCTGGTATTTTATTTTTATTTCAGACGAATATTATTTTTATTGCTGCGGTCTTCATATTCGAAGTTCTTGAAACGAAAGAAACCACACTTCATGCATATGAGTATGGTCAATATTCCATGTTCAAGTGAAAAGAAACACCAATTATTATCAATTCGATAGTGTAAAATTCGTAAATGATGAAATAACTCTTTATATATGTAAAGCGTATTATTAAGATTTGTATATCTTCATATTTGCTTGTTTGAAATGTTTTATAATACATGTTCAAATATGATACTTGTAGGTTCAGATATTAATTTCAAATGTCCAGTCATTGAAGTTGCGCAGACTATGTCCACAGTTAATCCTGGTAATACCGTTTACATGTATTCCTTCGAATATAGAGCATTATTTCCACCTGTACCAGAATGGTTTGGAGTTCTACACGCAGGTGAAAATGACTTTGTCTTTGGTGCGCCTTTGATAGACAGCGTCAACTACTCCGACACAGATAGATATGTCAGCAAGAGAATGATGAAATACTGGACAACATTTGCTAAAACAGGGTATTTAGCCTTTTTTATATTTTCCCTTATCTGGTAAAATCAATTTTCTTGAACTGAACGTAAAAGTTTCTTTAGTTAAGAATATATTTTCGAATTCGTTGTTTCGGAATCTAAAAATCTAAAAATTATAAAAAAATTCATTGTTCGCACCCAAAATAGAAAATATCGTCATTGCCTTTGCCTGAATGTCAATTGCTTATGACGTTTGTAACCAATAAAAACTTTGAAAATTTTACCCAGAATGCATTATATTCTATGAAAAAATGCATTACTGTTACCTTATTGCAAGTTTAATAGTAAAACATTGCTTCCATAATACAACAACCGGTATTAATGACATTCAGACAATATTTGGAACAAAAATGTCAAAATTAATTACTTTTAATTTTTCAACTTTATATTTTTTTAAGATTGGCCATTCAAAGTGCACCGATCTCTCATGCAGACATAACAGAAAGATCTGAATATTTCTCAAAATTTTATCAATTTCCAAGAAAACCATGTACACAATTTTAATTTCTTGGTAGCTATATTGAGTTTATAGTGTTTATAATCGGAATAACAATGAAATTAAAAAAAAACAACAATAAACACAACAATAAAGCAAAAGACGTGTAGACGTTATCGCTAACTATGTATCTATACTATATGCCAAGGTCTAATACAGACTAAGTGTTAACCCTAGTATGTTTCATAAAGAAGGGTATACATCTAATTAGATAGTTCACTTTCTCGGAAAAATTACTAGTGTGTTGCAGTACCGAACAATGGTGTGAGGTAAATACCCAAATTCATTTCCCGTTAAAAATTTGATTATTACAGAAATTTTCTTTACTTCCATTTTAACAAAATTTTATTAAATTGTTTCTTAATTTACAGTTTTGGCAATGTTGTTTTGTAATCTGGTACAAAAGTAACTGATTTTCAAGATGTTCAATCCGGATGTGTATGCAATGGATTATTTTTATACAATTTTCTTTTCTTTAAAAAAATAAAAAATGAGTCCCATGACAATATGAATTATTTTTGTAGAAATCCAAACTTCTGTAAAGATACGTGTAACGATTGGAATCGCTATGACAGCCGGGACAGGAAGTACCTGATTATTGACAGTGACTGTCCTCAAGATGGTCAAGGACTCAGGGAAACACAGTGTGCTTTCCTGAAGAACGTACTGTCACCCGGTATAGTAATTAATAAATAAAATCTCAAAATCTATTCTATTTTAATTATTTTTATTTCATTTTATTTCATTTTTTCAATTCAATTGGTTGAATTTTCAAGTATGATGTCCAGCTAGACATGTATCTACCAAAGACAAAATTATGTGCCTGTAAGCAATTAAAAGGCCAATTAAGAATGAGAGGGGGCCTCGGTGGCCAAGTGGTCTAAGAAGTTACTACTGTAATCACTAGCCAGTCAACACTGAGGTTGTGAGTTCGAACCCCGCTCGTGCGGGTGCACTCGACTCCAATCTTAATTGACTAGGATTGTCAGTTTTCCTATCGAAGGTCGGTGGTTTTCTCCGGGCACTCCGGCTTCCTCCACCAATAAAAACTGGCCGCCACGAAATAGCCCAAAAGCGGTGCTTAAAAGTGGCGTTAAAACACCAAAAATCAAAAATCAAATTAAGAATGAGACAAAACCCATGTCAAATATTAAGGTATAAAAACCTCCGACATGGACAAATTGTAAAACAATCGAAACCAGAAAACTAACGGCTTGATTTATGATAAAACAAAAAAAATGAGAAACAAATATGACCGATAGCAACCAACGACAACCACTGAATTACAGTAAAAATAAAAAAAAAAAAAAGTGGCATGATTGCCAATGACACATAAAGGCAACAGTAGTATACCCCTGTTCAATAGTCATAATTTGATTAAGCACAAACAAATTCGAGAAACAAACTAAAACCGAGGGAAACACATCAACTATAAGTGGAAAACAACGGAGCAACAGAAACACAACTCTCCAGCAAAAATAAAATGACGTCGAAGTTCAAGGTCGACAGTAAGAAATCTCATTACCAAATAAACCTTTTTAATAATTGTCTACACCTACAGTGAGAACGACTAAGAGGGGTCGTCTCAAAAGTTAAATTGAAAATAAAATTATTGATCGCATATGATTCGATTAATTTATATTGATACACTGTGTCTAAACTACACCGGCAAAAAAACAAAATGTTTGGACTCGATGGTATCTAATATCCGGCACGGTGACGGAACATTAATAGACAAAGAAAAGGTAGGTTTCTGTTTATTTATTTGTTATTTTTATGATATCGAAGAATATATATACATATATAACTTTTTTCTATTGTGAGAGGTAATTTTTTCTACAACCGTTCTAGATTAACGGAGAAATAAGTAAAACTGCATGTCAAAATGACGAATTGAGTGAACCTTGCCTCGATTTTGTTTAATATCTCGTTAAATTGTTCACATTGTACGGAAAGAAAGGTACAAAAAGAAAGATATTGACATGGAGATTGAAAAACTAGCCACTTTGAGCACCTCAATACTTGTATTTCTGTGTATGGAACGAAAGAAATGGGTCATGTCAAAATGGAAGGAGCCGGTTTTGTCAATGTTGTTTACTACACAATCACCCGGTTTTGTCTATGTATATCACCCGGTTTTGTTGTGTTTTGAAACCACAAATTTATGAAAAGCAACGCTAATACGAATCAATACATTGTCCATCGAAAGAAATTAAACATATATGTTATTGTAAAACAACTTCACTTGCGTTTTTTCAACAAAAATAAATACTACATATTATTTATACAAGAGTGTACGCACTGACATGTAGCGAATGCATGAATGATCGTAATTGAATCTATTTTGAAGATCTGTAAGATAAATAATTTAATAACAGTATCACATAAACTTAACATTGTTCATGGAACCATAAACAAGTCAAGATCTAATGAAACCTGCCAGACGGACATGAACACATTACAATCATTAAAACCAACCAAAAAAAAAAAATAAAAACTTAACATTTCCCAATTAATCAAGAAAATAAGTTAAAGGTCACATAAATAGTCATGTGGCCATATGGACAAAAATATAGTTGACCTATTACTTATAAGAGATACATATTTGTTTTTCGTTTATTTTTTGTACATTAATTTATCCGTTAGTTTTCTCGTTTGAATTGTTTTACATTTGTTATTTCGGGACTTTTTATAGCCGACTATGCGGTATGGACTTTGCTCATTGTTGAAGACCGTATGGTGACCTGTAGCTGTTAATTTCTGTGTCATTTGGTATGTTGTGTAGAGTTGTCTCATTGGCAATCATACCACATCTTCTTTTTTTTATATTGAACACGAAATGTTAACCTTGATCATGGATATCAACCATTATCAGTGTGACATTCACAGCTATTCATTTTGTTAGGAAATCGCTGAATTATGAAAATGAGGTCAAGGGCAATGGCAATATGACAGATAGAAACATCGTAAGATAAAATATCTGTGTGCGAGGTATGTTGCAGTCAGGCCTTCTCACTTCTGACATATGAAGCTTCATACAAATAGTTCAAGCCGCCACGAATTTGCATCCATTGGTCTCGCATTTCGACGATTCTAAAATATCAATGTGAAGTTTTAGAATAAACATGATAATCCTGCTCACATACATCCAATTTCGGGGGTGTCCTTGTTTTCTTATTTCTTATAAAATTCTAAGTTGGTATACGGTTTAGTTATATAACATGAGTGACGAATCCATGCGGCGTATAGGTCGACCCCCCACCCCCACCTTTGAAAGCCCCAAAAAAAATAAATCATGTTTTTTACGAATTTTTTAAAGCTTAAAATCGTCCAAAAAATTATTCACCTCGCTACGCTCGGCGGTATGTAAGTTGTTTGAATTACGCCCACTTTTAAAAAATCTAAATCCGTCCCTATATATTGTCAATAATATATTGACCAACGTCAATGTACGATAATCATAACACAATGGAGAGATAACAGAACCGTTTATTTATAGAACTATTTTAAAATAGAATAACCATTATTGCATTTTCTTGATGGCCTGAGACTATTATACAAATTTATACTTAGTATTATCCTTTTCTCCCCATAAACATTCATTTTCTATGGCGATTCTGCATGCATATACATTTGTCTTTTTATCATGTTTTATAATAAACACTTAGTATTAAAAAGCTTTATTATAAACGACCATTGGAAAGATTACACCCCTTGGTAGATTGGATTACTTATAAAGATAACCATCCTGTTGTGCAAGAAAATCACATATCAAATGTGCGTGTTTCAATTTTTAAGACCGTAAACTGTAATTTCAAGTTTGATCACTTACACTTACATATTTCATATAAAAAACGTAGAAAGAACTTAAACCTCAATTTGCGTTACAACCTTCTTTTCTATCTATTTCGCAATTAAAGTATTTTTTAAATGCAAACAGAATTATAATTATTTTTGTTCCAATAAAGTAGGAATTCAAGTGTTTACAGATTCAAATAAATAATAAGTTGTCCTCTGAAAGAACTCGTTTTCCAACGAGCCACCAGACTCTTTTTAAACGCCGAAGTTCAATTATGTTATGCGATCATGCATTTTTTTCTTTGACAATACCGGGTTCTGTCTTGTGAAATCTAGGAAAAAACCGGGTTCTTCGATATCATAAAAACAAGTTGCTTTCTTTAAAAAAAGAAAAGCAATACGTGAACCTTAGACCGCTGACTGGTCACCACATTTTTTTGCTGAATTTATTTTTGCTTTTGATTTGAAATAATTGACTGTTAATAGAATGAGGTAATGAAGGTATTAAAACACCTTTATTGAAAATATGTTATTGTGTGTAGATGCTTGCACAAATCAATTAACAGCACTGTTGGATTTTAGTTATAAATAGAAAATTGTATACAGCTACGATTTGAAATTATTAGCTCACCGGTGAGCTTTTGCCATCACTTGGCGTCCGTCGTCGTCCGTCGTCGTCGTCCGTCCAGTGTAAACTATTTCAAACATCTTCTCCTCTGAAACTACTGAACCAATTCCAACTAACTTAAACTGAATGATCCTTAGGGTATATAGATTAAAGTTTGTGTTTTATTTCTGTTTCGTCAAAAAACGTGGCCGCCATGGCTAAAAATAGAACATACGGGTAAAATGCAGTTTTTGGTTTATATCTCAAAAACCAAAGCATTTAGAGCAAATCTGACATCGGGTAAAAAGTTCATTAGGTCAAGTTCTATCAGCCCTGAAATTTTCAGATGAATCTAACAACCTATTGTTGTGTTGCTGCCACTAAATTGGTAATTATAAGGAAATTTTGCAGTTTTCGGTTATTATATTGAATATTATTATAGATAAAGATAAACTGCAAACAGCAAAAATGTTCAGCAAAGTAAGATCTACAGATAAGTTTTATATGACCAAAATTGTCAATCGACCCCTTAAGGGGTTATTGCCCTTTAAGGACAATTTTACACAATTTGTTTTTTATGTTTTCTTACTTTAAAAAATCTTCTCCTCTGAAACTACTGAACCAAATTAAACCAAACTGAATGATTCTTAGGTTATCTAGAATAAAGTGTGTGTTTTATTTTCTGTTTCCTCAGAAAACAGTGCCGCCACGTCTAAAAATAGAACATAGGGTAAAATGCAGTTTTTAATATATCTCACAAACTAAAGCATTTAAAGCAAATCAGACAAGAAGTTAAAGTATTCATTATGTCAAGGTCTACCTGCTCTGAAATTATCAGCCAAATCGGGTATCTTATTTTTAGGTTATTGCCCCTGAATTGATGATTTTAAGGAAATTTTGCAGTTTTCGGTTATTATATTGAATATTATTATAGATAAAGATAACTTGTAAACAGCAAAAATGTTCAGCAAAGTAAGATCTACAAATAAGTTTTAATATGACAAAAAATGTCAATTGACCCCTTAAGTAGTTATTGTCCTTTAAAGACAATTTTTCACAATTTGTTCATCTAATCTAGTTTGCTTACTTTAAAAAATCTTCTCCTTTGAAACTGCTCGATCAATTTCAGCCAAACTTGGGCTGAATGAGTTTCAGAGTATCTTGTATAAATTTTGTATTTTATTTCCTTTTACGTCAAAAAAACATATCCACTATGGCTAAAATGGAACATAGAGGTAAAATGCATCTTTTATCTCAGATACAAAGAACATTTGAATGGCATTTTTAAGCCACTCATTAATATATATTGAAAAGCAAAAATAATCATTGATGAAAGATTTAAGCCAAAAAATTACAGGTGAGCGATTCAGGCTCTTGAGAGACTCTTGTCTGTTAAGGCTTGACTATTTTATTCAATACCTGGAAGTTTACATCATTTTTTCTCCGTGTTTTATATTCAAAGACCTAATCCTATTGCTATTCTCAATTTTTGCAAACCGGATGTCTAAAGCAAATTGCACAGACCGATCAAGATATAAAGTTCAGCACTCAGTTTGCTTCGTAATCTGGATGCGTTTATTTTATTTTTCATATCTTCATAATATTATTTTGTTTCCTGGATGCTTTAAATTATTCTTATACTCATTGAAGCTGTCTGTACTCATTGAAGAGGTTGTATAGAGAAATTGAAAGTCCAATCCATGTGAAGTGTAACTCTGTGACACAAATTGTAAGAATATTTCGTATTTTGTTCTTGAGAGTAACACACCAGCTTTATTAGGACCTCTTATATACTGACAATTATTTGGTCAGATAAAACATTTCAAATTTTATGAATTTCCTGAAGTAACTTAAATCAATTCAAAAATTCGACAGGAAGACTTAGTTTGAAAAATATCTTGTTTTCATAAGTCTTGTGAATACCCGAACATGCACTCAAAAGAACCAATTTATATTTGGTAAAAGTCAATAAACTCATCATGGAAACGTGGTCAGGATTAAAGTTTTGTACGCCAGACGCGCGTTACGACTACAAAACATTAAAAAAGGCCAAATATAGAACAAAGTTTAGGAGCATTGATGACCCAAAATTCCGAAAGGCTTTGCCAAATACAGCTAAGGTAATCTATTTCTCGGGTTATCCTTAGTATTTCGAAAATTTCACAAAGTTTATAATAGGACAGTCAGACTCACTCAAAAAGAAAGAAAACGATTAGAAAAACAACTAGATGTCGGAGTACCTCAATGATGAGCATGCTTCAGAAGCACGTTAAGCTTTTACTGCCCTGTCCTAGATTTATATAAGAAATGCAAAAAATCCCCTACCACGTGTGAAATCAATGTTTACACATGCACGTAGTTTTCTTGCGCTAGAAATAGTAAATGGCAAGCATACGCACTGATATTCTGGATAAGAAAATAATTTGCGTCATCACGTAGATTTATTCTAGGTTCAGATCTAATGTTAGTTTGAAGTCGGGTGTCAAACCGCCTACCTCAAGTGGTTTGACTCAAGATTTTTCGCCATTAAATCTGGAATTTGTGTCAATGCAAACCAATATTGTTTTCAAACCAGATATTAAATCCAATTTTATTGTGTCGTGTGAACAGTGTGACTGTAATGATAAGTAATATTATGTAAATAAACGGCAAGTTTTTTGTAGGGTCAACACAATGCATACAATTTTCAAAATCGCACAATCATTGCAAAGATTTAGATGCTATAAGTTTCAACAAATAAAAACCAAAAATAATCGTAAGGGTTCCGCGGAACCTAGTGTCTCGCCTACTTTTGCTGTTAGTCGTAGGCTCAACAAAAATGGGTAAAAAATTATTAAAAATTTTCCACTAAATACTATTTTTTGATTGTAAGAAGCTTCTATCCAATTTAGGTAAAAATCCATGGTCTGATCTTTTAATTACCGAACGTGACTTATTCCCGATTGTGACTGTTTTGCTGAGTGTGAATTCGCATTGCTATAAGACGTGTCACGGTACTTTTCTATCCAA